CTCTGAGCAAGTCACTTCCCTGTCTGAGCCAAGTGTCCTGTCATAAAGCAGCAGCCACTGTCCCTGCCTCCCGGCTCGCCCTAACCTCCTGGTCGTGGCATTGCCACCGACTCTCTGTGCCTGCCCTGGAACCCAGGAGTCCCCCACGGCCGCGTGGCGGTAGCGCCTTCTCCCCGCTTTGCAGATGAGGCAGCCCAGCTTCGTGAGGCGGTCGTCCTGAGAGTGAGTGACCAGCAGGCATCGGATGCCGCTGTGGCCATCACTACCCTCCGCTGCCTCCGGCCATGACCCACAGTGCTGTCCCCGGGGCAGAGGCACCGGCTTCTGGGAAGCAGGGTCGGGGGGACAGAAGGGGCCTGTGCCCTGGCCCTTCCCTGCGTGTGGAGCTGTCCGAGGGGAGGGCGTGCTGGCTCTGAGCGTGACGGCATCCCCGGGGGGCCTCGTCCCGCCTGGTTGCTGACCGCTGTCGGTTTGTCAGCCTGCGGGGCCTGGGTTGGGGTGACGCGGCCCCCTTTCTTGGGAACGTCGGAACCCCATCTTGCCCGATGTCTCTGCAGGCAGGTTCTGCTCTTCTTTTTAAAATTTTTGTTGTGAAATGCCTGTAACGTAATAGTTCTCATTTTAACCATTTGTCAGCGTACAGTTTAGTGGCGTTAAGTGTCGCGTACCCATCACCACCGTCCGCACCCAAAACCTTCTCACCGTCCCAAAAAGAAACTCCATGTGTGTTAAACAACACCCCCTCCTCCTCTCTGCCCCGTCTCCTGGTCTCTGTCCTCTAGGGACCTCACAGAAGTGGACTCACACAGTCCTTGTCCTTTGAGACTGGCTGATTTCACTGAGCGTATGTCCTCAAGGTCCATCCACATGGTGGCATGTGTCAGAATGTCCTTCCTTTCCATGGTTGAAGGATATTTCATTGCCCATCTGTGCAGTTTTGTCCACTCACCTGTTGATGGACAGTTACTACTAATTGATACTTTTTGTGAGTGAAGTTGAATATCTACATGTTTTAAGTCATTTATGAAAATTGACAAACAAGGAAAAAATAATCTGCGCGTCACATCGCAGGCAAAGACCCGGTTCTACCAGTAGCTGACACCTCCGTGAGCACAGGACCAGCAGCACCATTCACGACGGGCGGAGGGCCGAGGGTGCCGGACAGGGGCTGCAGGTGACTCTTGGGCCCAGGAGAAAACTGCCTCACCTGTAAGGGACGACAATCACACTGAGAACAAGTCTGTCCCTGGGAGGCTGAGAGGCAGGCGTGAGTCCACTCTGGCAGAAGTTGAGGTAGTGACTGTCCTTGGAGCACAGTCAATGGAGGCCGCCCAAGGAGCTCCTGGGCACAGCTGGTGTCTGTCTCGGTGTGGGTACTGGTCACACGGGTGTGCTCCGCTTGTGACATCACTGGGCACGGTGCACTGCAGTGTGAAGTTAGCAGCAGCACCCCTTCCGGCCAAGGGCACCCTGTGTTAGTGGCAGGAGGGGACAGGCCTTGTCACCCATGGCGGGTAGGCCACCTCCATGGAGGCTGAGCCGACAACAGATCAGAGTCTACACCCTTGACCCACACGTCTGCCACCTCCAGGGTCCGGTTCTGCAGACAGGCTCCCCAGGCGGTTTGTGCAGACATCACGGCAGCGCCGTGGCTTTTCGGAAGAAAGAGAGAGAACACCCCAAGTGTCCGTCAGTGGGGCTGGGAGAGAAATTACGACGCATCCGGACAGGGGGATGATACAAGGATGCTCTCGATGTCACCCGAGGGCATGTCTATCAAGTGTGAAAAAGAAAGGCGTGTTTACACACGGAAGCGGGTGTAATATAGTCCTTCGCTTGCACACGCACCGAGGGATTCTGGAAGCACATGAGAAATCCGAATCGTCATCCCCAGGGGAGAGGCCCTGGCCCGGTCTGTCGGGGAGGGGGATGGGAAGGAAGCCCCGAGGACGCCCCAAACCGACTCCCCTGCTTTCCAGCTTCCTGGGGCGGCGCGCCTGTCACCAGGCTTCTCTGGTCGCCAGCCTCTCACTTGCGTTGCCGGCCCCAGTGGTCCAGGGCCCTTGGATTTATAATCTTGTCCCTCCGAGTAGGACCTGGGGACTTTGCAGTGGGATGATGACAGCCGATACGGAGCATTTCAAGCCCCAGATCCTTCCTGCCCCTGTCCCCTGTGTGAGGACAGAAAATGCCATGCTGCCCTTCCGGCCGTGAGGGCAGGCTGTCAGCGCAGGCGGGGTCTGAGCTGGTTCTGGGTTGGCCGGGGTTCCGGGGGCCCAGCCGTGCCCCCCCCCGGCCCCCCCAAAGCAGCCTCTGAGAACCTGAACCTTTGATGGCTGTTCTGTGTCAGCTCTCGCCTGGCCCTGTGATTCTTGGCCACCGTCTCTTTGGTGCCTCTTCAACATGGCTGTTAGGGCACGAGTGGCTTTTATGAAATGTCTCATTACTTTGGCTTTTCTATAAGACCTTTATTTTGGGGGAAGAGGCTGTCAACTTTGATTTCGTTTCTAGTTTCTCAGGCAGAGAAACCCAGCAGGTGCTCCTTAGGTAAAATATCTTTTCTGACTCAGAGAGGCGTTTGGGTAGATGAGTCTTTAATGCCCTGGGGTGCGTCTGGGGGCCTCGGGCAGGGCGGGGGCCGTCCTCAGCACCCTTCATCCCTTCTGGCCTTGGCAAGTGGCCGAGCTTGACTTTTCTTAAACTGTCTTTTCCAGAGCCCCCATGAAAGCCCTCAGACTCTCCTGGAGGGGCCAGCCCTTCTGCCCAGATCACGGGGAGCCCTGGGCGACCCGCTCCTCACCCGTCTCCTCTGGCCCCTCGGCCGTCACCCCTCGCTGCCTCTCCTGGGAGCCGGGCGGCTGAGCTGGCGGTGCCAGGTTTCAGGACTAGCGAGCAGGCCCTGTGTGCAGGCTGCACCCCTGGTCTCTGTGGACCTTGCCTCTTTGGCCCCTAGGTGACAGTCTGAGCACAGTGCCGGGGAGGTCTGAGGTGTGTCCCAAGCCAGCATTGCTGCCCAGGGCAGAGCCGGGCCTGGGGAGTGGACTAGGCGGCCTCTATGGGGCGCTGCGTGCCAGTGCCTGGGAGCAAACCTGTCACCTCGCAGGCATGGCCTTTGTCCTGGGTGACTCCAGGCCAGAGGCTGTTACTGATGCCATCAGCCAGGTCAGGGAAGAAGTCCCAATGGGTGACCTGTCCTGCCGTCAGTCACAGCCTAGCCTGGCTTCTAAAGGCAAGTGGCTGGAAAGAGTTTTGTTTCATTTCGTCACATCCGTTCCCTTAAACCTCAAGCTATATTGGAATCATACAAAAGGACATTATAACGTGTAGCAAGTCACGCACGCCCCGCCGGCCATGGACGAGCCCCCGCCATCTTCCCCACTTCCTTGTCCCCAACTCCAAGCTGCACTGTAGGCGAGGCCTGCCTCTGTGCGGGGACAGTGAGGGTCCAGCCGAGAGTGTGGCGGGCTCCTTGAGGATCAGGGAGGGGCTTTACAAAGAGAGAGGACAGTGTGCGTGGCTGGAGCTCTGTCCCAGCCCAGGTTAATCCAGGTGTGAACTGAAGGAAAAGCCTTAAGGAAGTGGCTTCATTCGCGAGGTGGCAGCTCCACCTATGCCCAGGGCCTTTCTGTGCTGGTTTCTCAAGCGCCGTCCCCGCCACCTGGACAGCTGCAGCCGCCCAGAGCCGCCCAGGGCTGCCAGCCGCTGCATTCCTGGCCTTTTCTGAGAAATCCATCCCCTTCAGCAAAGTGACAGCAGCTCGTTAAGCCCGGGTAGGGAGAGAGTGAGGGAGGGAAAAGCCTTTGCACACGTGTCCCACATCTGAGGATGTTTTGTTTCCAGTTGTCTGGCACAGCGGGTGTGCAGGTGAGGACTCGCCTGCGAGGTTCACGGTCACAGACACCGCTGCCCGCCAGAGCACCGCTCGCAGAGCTGGGAGGCATATTTCCTCAGCTTCTTTCCTGCCAAAACATCAGGTTTTATGAGTGCTTTTCTGGCATCGACTTTGCAGGTGTCACGCAGTGCTGAAGGCCTGGGCGGGGCCCAGTGCCCTCCCTCCTCTAACTCGGCAGACCCAGGTTCCCTGTGGTGTGTCACCTTGACGCCTCTTGCCCACAGAGACCTGCGGGGCAGATGTTTCTCTCGTGACCAGAGTCGCTGTGGGTTCTGGACATCCTCTGTCCTGCTCTGTAGGGCCTGCAGCCCTCAGCTTTGTCTCCTGGCCTCTGTACAGGATGGGCCGTTCCAATCTGACCGAGGAGGGAGGGACCCCACTCTGCTGCTGACTGGCTGAGGGGCCTACTGTGGCCCAGGTGTCACCTTTCCCAGCCCCACTTCCTCGGGCGGGAAAAGGGTTGTCACCGTGTTGGCCGGCTGCGTGGAATCTTGGGAGGGTGACACGAGGAAGCGTCTGTTGGCACTCAGCGCAGCGCCTGGCCCGTGGAAACTAAATCCGTGCTTCCTGTGCACTGCGTGGAGGGGGCCCACGGGTGCGGTGGCGGGAAGGGAGTCTGGTGGCCGTTGGTCACATGTCCAGACGACGGCTCCCGGCTCGCGGTGGCTTTTCTCTCCTGGCGGAGTTGCTGCCTCACCGGACTTGGGAGTTCGTACCCTCCAGAGTGGCCTGGGGCCTGTGGGTTCGGCCCTGTCCCTTCTCTCCATCCTCTGTGGGTACTGTCCTTGGTTCTTCAGGTCCCTGGGTGTCCCCCCTCCCTCCCACTGCACGGCAACATGGGGGCTGTTCCCACAGGCTGCTTTCCCGCCGCAGAGCAGGCTGGCTGCCCTCGGCCTCCACCCTCTGTCCGGCACCCAGTGGGTCCTCCTCTGTGCCCCCACAGAAGTGTCAGCGCCCCCATCCCCAGGAGCAAGGCTCCCTTTGTCTGCTTCACCCCCTCCAGCCCTCGGGGCCGCTTCTGCATCAGCCCAGGAATCGGGGAGACGCCGGGGCCCACAGCCGGGCAGGTGGCCGCTTCCTCCCGCTGACGGCTTCGCCTCTGGTTCAGTTTCCAGGCCGAGCGGCCCGCTCTGGACGTCGTCATCTTCCCTCTTCTCCACGAGGGCCTGGCCGACGTCATCCGGGACGTCCCCATGGTGCACCTGGACGAGATCACCTTGTTTAAAAGCAGAGTGGCCGAGGAGCCGCCCAACCTGTGGTGGTGACAGGGGTGGCCAGCACCAGGCGAAGCTGCTTCCATCGCCGAGCCTGTCATCGCCGTGGCCGAGGAAGCAGGATCGCCTGGACGGGCATGTGGCCTGTGCCTCAGCTGCCGCTGAGGCTCATCGCCGGTCTGCAGACGCCGGGGAGGCTGCCGGACACCGGGACCCCGGCCGGGTCACGACGAAGGGAGCCCTCTCCCCCGCCACCCTGCGCACCCCCATCTCCCAGGGGCTTCCCGTGCTCCCTCTCACGTTGTCCGGTGCAGACGCGTCACTCAGAGAAACTTGGGGTGAGGCAGCATGAGGGGGGTGGGCGGGACGAGTGGTTGTCAGACTCTCAGGCCTGGCCGCAGGCCTTCCTCAGCTGAGACGCGGGGCACGGTGCGCCGACTCCTTGGGGCCCTGACCGGGTCCCCAGAGCACCACGTGGCCCTAGTGCTGCCCCTTCACTTCAGCCCCGTGGAGGGTCCCTCTGCTCGTCTGTGTCTGGTCACCTGCCACCGGGCTACGTGGAGGGGCACCTGGGGCCCGGTGCTGGCGGTGACCGTGCATGTGGGTGGGCACGCTCGCCCTGTGGGACATCCACCCTGACCTCTGATGGCGAGGCCAGTGACCGCGTGCCTCAGTGCCCCTCCCCTCGGGTCAGCGGTGAGTGCGATGCAGGGAGGAGCTCGCCGGCCTGGTGCCCGTGGATTCGGGGCTCTCCTGCCCGGTGAGACGTTTCACCCAGTTATGTCTCTGGTATGTGTCCAGCCAGCCGATGTCAGATTCGGGGCCAGTGCCGAGCAGGGACCCCAGGGGCTGTGGCTGCTGGGGTCGGCGGTCAGCCCCAGGGGCCGCAGCTCCTCGGGCAGGTCGGTATTCCTGGGGAGACGCAGATGGCCTCGTGGGGAAACGTGCGAGGACGTTGGAGGCCGAGTAGCGAGCTGTGCTTAGCCCTTCGCACACGTTCAGCACAGCTGCTCCAGCGTGGGGCTGGCCTCCCCGTGTCCCGGCCCCCGGCCCCCCTGCCCAGACGCCGCCTCCGCCTCCTCAGCCACAGCACCCCCCAGAGCCGGCCTCCCCTCGGCTAGGGGCTTCTGAGGGCCGACGCCCGGCGGTGTTCCTGGACACCCCGGGGATGCCAGGTGTCACCGGGCGGCTTCCAGCCATGATGCCTCCCCAGGACCTTCACGCTGAGCCTGTCGTGCACCGGGCTGGTGACGCAGAGCCCACTGGGCCTTGCTCACACTGTCACTGCCTGTTCTGGCTACGGTCAGCTCTGGGGTCCCCAGCTCGGCCGTCTTCCTACTCTGTTTGCATAGTGACAGTCACCCCCATTCCATGTAGTGTATCTTGCAGTTTACCTGCTGTTGAAGGGCTGGGGACCTGGTCTCTGGGCATTCGTTCACCTGGGTTCTCGAGGGGCCGGCAGTTCAGCCACTCCCACCCCACCGGGCTGAGGGGTCGGGAGGCCTTCCGATGGCGAGGACTCATGCCCCGGGGCACACAGACCTCCCAGTGCCAACCTCCCCTCCTCCCAGGTTGGGGCTGGCGGCTCTCTGCTTCCCAGCGAACGCCCCACTGCAGGCCCCCCCAGACCCGCAGCTTCACCTCCAGGGTCCTGACCCGCCCTGAGAGCCACAAGCCAGGTCTTGTTCTTCCTGACCTCGTAGGCCTCAGGACAGACTGCCCTGGGCCCCAGAGAGGCAGGGCTGAGGTCCCCGTTCGGGGCCCACGGCTGTAGATGAAGGTCCGAGAGGTGGTAGGAACACACCCCCCTTCCAGTTTCTGGGCATTTCTTTCATATGGCGACTAGAGACCACCAGGCGAGGCTGATCAGGAAGGGTGCTGCGGGGACTGGCTGCTGCTTGTCCTCAAAGCGAGGGTGTGGCTGGTCTCAGCCTGACAAACGAGGGAGCGCAGCTCGGCGGTGGGCCAGGGCACTGGCCAACTCCGGGACCCCCATGGTCCAGACCCGGCCCCCCTAGGCCCTGGGTGGCCCTGGGTGCCCTTCTTTTATCCAGGGCCGCCTGGGCACCGGAAGTGTGTCCAGAGGCTGCGGCTGTGTTTCTCGCTCTCGCCTGGATGGCCCGTTGTCACGAGCAAGGAGGGTCACCCAGCAGCATCCTTTGTGCTGACCCATGGCCGGGAGGGGCCGTTCGCGGGCGGCGGGGCACGAGCTGCGTTGGAAAGCAGCCCCCACACAGAGGACCTTGCGTGTCCGTCAGTGCGCCCCACAACCATCCTTTTACACAGAGCGAGAATTTCCGCTGCTTCTGCACCCGGGACGGATTCAGCAGATGTTAGTAATGTGCTTACTCTCACTAAGTGCTATTTTGGCACCGGTGTTAATTGCAATTTATATCCTGCAGCATTTTACGCTGGAAAGAGAACCCACCCTAATGGTTCCCAATTGGCAAAACTGAGCTGTTAAGCGTTGGACCATATGCTGCCTGCTCAGCGGGGCCTGGTCAGCACTGGTGCCCACGCGTGTACACGTGTGTGTGCGTGCATGTGCATGGAGTGCTTGCGTGTCTGCATACATGTGCCGTCCGCTGTGTACGTGTTTGTGGAGTGCGTGTGCGCACGTTCCCTGTGTGATCATATGTGTGTGTGGGTGCACACGTGTGTACAGGGCGTACGTGTGTAAGACACTGGGTAGAGTGAGGACAGAGGGATCAGGGCATTTTTGTTCAGAGAGACCCCTGGTGCATGTGCATGGTGTGCTTGCGTGTCTGCATACACGTGCTGTCCGCTGTGTACGTGTTTGTGGAACGCGTGTGCGCACGTTCCCTGTGTGATCATATGTGTGTGTGGGTGCACACGTGTGTACAGGGCGTACGTGTGTAAGACACTGGGTAGAGTGAGGACAGAGGGATCAGGGCATTTTTGTTCAGAGAGACCCCTGGCCTCCCAGGGTCGCCCCTGCCGCCTGGGCCCGCCTGCAGCCTCAGGCTCTGCCGCTGCCTGCCAGGCCATGCCCGGCCCCGGCTCTGCAGATGTTCCCAGGGAGGCCGCTGGAGCCTGAGGGAAGCAGAGACCACAGGCTCCCGCCCTGGTCTTGGTGGCTCCGCTCATTTTCACGTGACGTGTTTCTGTTCCAAGCCCCAGGAAGCTGCGTTGCGAGTACTTCACTCTTTCATACAATGGAGGTATTTTATTCCTGCCTGTCAGCTGCCCTTTGAGGGACCCAAGGAGACGCGGGTCCCAGAGTCCCTTTGCCAGGTCCCTGTGTGTGCACGGCGGGAAGGCGCTCTCCGCTCGGCCCAGGACTGCAGGCCAGGACAGTTCCTGGCACAGACGCCCTGCCTCCGGCAGCTCTGCAGGGCAGGCGTTGAGGGTGACACTCCTGTGTGGGGACCCAGAGCTGCAGGACACGCAGCCGCCCAGGGGACAGAAGCTTGGCAGAGGCCGGGATTGGGGAGCAGGGCCAGAGGAGGGTCTGAACTCAGTGTGTTCAGCCCTGGTCCTGCCAACTTCCTTCCCGAGGAGGTGCAACCCCACCCCCCGCCGGAGGGGCCTGCGATGGACCCGCCCTCAGTCCTCCGAGCAGCCTCCCGCTTCCTCGCGCCCTCAGTATTTGCTCCGTTAGGATCTGGAAATTGCTGAGACCTTGTCAGAAAAAAATAAATTAGTGGACGAGGAAGAAGGGTGGCGGTTGGCAGTGAGTTCCAGTGGTTTTAGCCATAGAGCCCAGGGCGAGGAGACCTGGGCCTCCTCCTGGGGACGGGGATGTGGGTGCCCGTGGTGCTGTGGCCTCATCGAGTCCCCCACTTTGACAGGAAAGGCACAGGATTGTGCAGGGAGGGCTCGGGCCCCTTTGCATTGGGAGCGCAAGATTCTAATTAGAAGTGTCCGGTGTCTGCCAAGCATGGTGAGCGGCCACCACGGAAGCTGGAAAAACACAACTGTGGGTCCCACACAGGCCGACTAGTGTCGCCTAAGTGTCGTCTCAGTGGCTCCACTTTCTACAGCTCTTTCCAGAACCGCTGGAGGGTGGTGCTTCCCACTGACGTCACAGGGTCAGGGCACCCCGCGTCCCTGCCAGGCCAGGCCGGCCCAATGACCACAGGCAGCATGTCGCTGTGTCCAGCTGCAGAACCAGGGCCTGGACGAGCGGGTCCGAGGCAGGAGCCGCTGCTGCGCTGACCCTGACAAGGGAGTGACTATTTTTTTGAGAATTCCCAACTTTATTGAAACTACAAAAACATGCCCCACAATAGTGGGTCAGTGACCCCTTTTATTTACTATACCGAGCAGGTGTTTGGTGACCTTTATTGACGGTGAGGTATGCAGAATTTGAATCTGGCTCAAAAGCCTTTGGAAGAAAGGTCTCAGAGACCATTCGTTAGACAGTGGGACCTGTGTGGTAAGGAGCCAGGCCAGCGGGTGGGGCTGGGAGGCCAGGGTGTGAGAGGCAAGGCCAGGGGCCGGGGTCGGGGGATGTGTGAGGGCATCAGGAGGAAGGGAGACATGGCAGCAGAGTGGCCCAGGTGGCAGTGGCTTCGGAACCCACGTGCAGTCCAGCTGAGGAGCAAAGATGGCATTGCAAGGTCCACAAGAAGTGACAGCGATGGGGGCCCAGGCCCTCGGGGGCACGTTCCTAAACCTTAGCGCCTCTGCCGTCTGCTCTGCTCGGCCCTCCTGCCTCCAAGCCTGCCCTCTGGGCGTCCTGCAGGCCCCTGTCTCAGCAGCAGCGTGCGGTGGGTGCAGCGTGGGCCCTGGGCCACCAGCTGCCGGTCCCAAGGCTGCGGACGCTGGCCGGAGGGATGTTCCTCCTGCTCCTGCCCTCGGTTCTCAGCCCTGTGCCTCTGGCCTCATGGCTTTCATTGTCCACAGGGCCTAGGCCACCTGGCCACTGCCCGCTTTCTCTGGCTGCCACTTCAGCCCGTCTCCGGCTTCTGCTGACACCACTCTGCTCAGAGCTGAGCGCCCCTCCCTCTCCGGTTAGCGACCTCCCCACAGGTGTCGCCTCACGCAGGTCCCTCACTCCCCCTTGACCCTCGTGTCGTCCCGGCTGCGCGGGTGCTGAGGCTGCGTGTCCCGCATGCTGTCCATGAGGCTGTGGCTCCTGCAGGTTCTGCAATGCCACCTGGCTCCTTTGAGGTTCTCCTGGAGTCTAGTCAGGCTCAGAAGCCCCCAGGTTCATCACCGGGGCCTGGGGGTGAGTCCGCTGAGGTTCTGCAGTGACTTCCTGCGGAACCCTTCCTGGACATGGACTGAGGCCCGCTCCCTCCTGTGCTCACTGGGGCCGGCAAGGGGGTGTGAGGTGGCCGCGGGCGGGCAGGCGTGTGCGTGTGCACGTGTGGCACGGGTCCAGGCACAGGACACACCCTGCTGCAGTCGGGCACGTTCCCAGCGCTGGCACCAGCCGTCCCTCTGACCAGTGCTCGTCTGCGTGTGACCGACCGGAAACAGTTGGGCTCAGCATGTTTTTAAGGGGGCGGGGGTGAGTCAGCTGGGGCTCTCGTATGTGTGTGACCAGGTGCTAAGTGACCGGATACGCGTCACCCGCCTTTTGACGACAGACCTTGTCCGTCTGGTGATGCCCGCTCCTGAATTTTGTGTTCACACTACATTTCGAATGGGTATTTCCATGTAAATTTGTGGCATGTGAAAAGTTTCAAATAAAGTGGACTCGATTTAGAAAACCAGGTGTCTGTGCGGTCCTTCCGGTGAGGACACTCCCAGCCTTTCCCCTGTCACCCCCACCCCAGCCCCGGAGCGGGGCAGAGGCACTGCCGTCACCCATCGCCGTTCACCTGTGAGGACAGACGCTGTGCTCGTCCCGGTCAGGGGGACCTGGATGGAGACATGAGGCCCAGAGGGGACCAGACGCTGCCCCAGGTCATCTGGACTCGATGGCTGGGGAGGCCAGGCGTGGGGCGGGGCCCGGGGGCACTGGCGTGGCCTGAAGCTGCTCTCTGCACATGTGGCCTGGGGGCAGCGTGGACACCAGCGATGCCTGGCGACTGGCTGGCTGAAGGCAGGCAGGGCCCGAGTCAGCGTCGGTGTTATCCGGGGGTCATGGGGGCCGAGTCAGTTTTCATTCAGTACATATATATATTTCAATCGTGGTGAGATACGCATGGCAGAGTTTACCACCTGAACCATTTTTAAGTGTCCGGGTCACTGGCAGTAAGTACATTCACATTGTGGTGCAGCCATCACCACTGACATCAGCAGAATGTTTTCCTCTTCCCAAATGAGACTGTCCCATTAAACACCAACTGCCCACTCCACCCCAGCGCCCGGCGCCCCATCCTACTGTCTCTGTCTCTAAGAATTAGACTACTCCAGGGACCTTGTGTAAGTAGAACCCCGCAATATTTGTCCTTTTGTGTCTGGTTTATTTGCAGCATCAGTTTTAGGCAGAAACTTCTCCAGACCTGGCTTAGCGGGGCTCTGGCCACAGTGTGGAGGGGACGAAAGGTGGTGACAGGCCAGGGCACACGTGCAGGTGTCCGCGGAGGCGTGTGGACCTGGACTTGGGAGGGGCCACGGGGAGTGGGTGGGCTCCACAGATGCTGCAGGACAGAGTGACAAGGGCGGCGACCTTCAGGTGGGCAGAGGAGATGACGCTGCCCCAGCTCTCAGCTTGGTCCTCAAGGTGAGACTCACCTGAACCGGAATGGCGATTAAGGAACAGGAGCCTCCGACATTCCCCGTCGGGTCTGAGGCCATCACCCAGGCTTGGCGAGTCCCCACGAGATGCCCATGATGGCTCAATTCTGGCCTGGAGCCAGCGAGAAAACTCGGGACAGTCTCCTAGGGATCAGCAGTGACCTTCCCAGCTAGGATAGGACGGACCCTCTGTGCTGCTGAAGCCAAACTTGACTGCAGGTGGGAATTAGATGGGAGTGCAGGTCAGCCTGTTCTTCAGACACAGGTGTGACTCGATTAGAGCGACAGGTAAGTGGGAGGAGCCAAGGCTGAGGAACATGGAACGCACCACCTTCGTGCTTCAGCAAACCACCCCAACTTCATGGCTCCCACAGGGCAAGTGTTTGGACTGGGCACAGCGATGGCTTGCCTCTGTTCCTGGGGGTCTAGAGCCTCTGCCGGAGTCTAGAATCTTCTGGAAGCATCTGTATTCAGACGTTTGGTAATAGATGCTGACCATCAATGGGACCTCAGCTGGGCCTGTGGCCAGAACACGTGTCCTCTCTGGTCTGCCCACAGGGTCGTCAGCCTTCCTCACAGCGTGGCAGCTGGGTCCCAGAAAGACCCAAAGGCTGTGCCGTAGCCTTGGACACCGTATAGCATCCCCACCCCACTGTGGAATGAGGCAGAGACCCGCCACATCCAAGGGCAGGGCACACACACCCCCACCCGCCAGAAGTCGGATCGAGGTCCCATTGCAGGAACCAGGTGGAGTGGGGGGCAGTGTCATGGTCTTGCTGGCAAGTGTGTCCCGGTGGGCAGAGCACCCCGAGTGAGGCCCGGGCTTGTTGGCCTCACCCTGCCGGCTCTGCCAGGGCCTTGCCGGGTGCGTGTGGGGAGCACTGCTGGGAGCACGTGGGAAACGCTCTCCAGAAAGGCCGAGGGCTCACACTTGGAGTGGATTGAGTGTGTGAAGCAGCCTGGCCTGTGTCGATAGGCTGAGCCTCAGAAACATCAAACTGACCCCAAGTAAAGCCATTCTTTGTAGCAAAGATGAAAATGCCAGGAGCCCGTGTGTTCTGAGGGTTGGCTTGGAAGCT